CCTTTTCACTCTCCAGACACGTTTACAGCTCTCCAATACCTATCAAAATATCTACTCCCTTTCTGCCTGCTTCTCTGCCCCTAGCACAAACTTGCATCACATTCTAAATCCTTCTACAACTGTACTTTTCTCCCTCTGCTGAGTGTTTTTTGTATTCTGACCCACAATCCACTGCTTAACCTTACAATTTCCTCCATCCGTTGTCACTCCTTTCTCATTTATTTTCCCTCTACTCTTTGTCTTTCTCTGTGTGTTTGACCATCGCTTTTACAATTCAAGTCAAAGCGATGCTCCAGGAGCCGTCTTGGCTCCAATAACCACATGGGAACACAGGGCAGAGGTGACAAGTAGAGTAGGAGGTTTTATTTGCATAGAAAGCATCAATATGTATTTTCTTGAATTTATGTTTGCCCACATCGTTATCATCAGTGTTTTGTTTTGTTTTGTTTTCAAAACTGTAAAAACATAAATTTTTGTCTCTTTGTCTTCTTAAAAATTGTCCTCAGACATGGAGTTCACGTGGCTGTATTCCCTATGCCAGTGCATGTTATTTTTATCTATAATTGTGGTGAGCGTGCGGCTTTGCATGGCAGTCACCAGCAAGGGCACGATGGCTGATGTCCAAGACGGATCCCAGATTGCCAGGCCCCAGCCTGGGAGTGTTTCATGCTGTCTTCGGCTGTGTCTGGGTTGCGTCGGAGCCATAGGAGGTGCAGCAGGACTCCCTCTGAACGTGTTACTCAACCTGCGAAGCCCCCAGTGTTTGTACACCTGCATAACCCTTGTGTGTTTTCCTTTGATGGTCAGGCAGTTTACAATGTTCCTGTTGGTACTGCTTACCCTGGACACCCACCTATACCATCGTTTGGCAGACAGGTGAGCGTAACAGTTTGATCAGTAGAGGAAAAATGACACAAGTTTTCAATTTCAGTTTCAAAGTTTAAGCAGACACACACACACACGCACACACACACACACAACAAAAAATACACAAAAGCAGACATTTCTTATATAAGACTCATTTTCAAAGTAAAATAAAACTTCAAAAATGAAAAGAGTGGTTTAATACATTTTTGTATATGTGTGGGAAAGGGTGAATATGTGGGTGGCAAGAGTCAACCAAGATTTGTAAGCATGCTTTTAGCAAAAATGAAAGAAAGAAATCAATATAAGTGCAAAAGGGGAAAAAAAAGGTCAAGGCACACCTTTGTATGTAGTAAAACAATCTGTTTGTTCAGTGCTCATAAAGATGTTCTTATTGCGAACTGCTTGTGATGCGATGTGAGTGATGGTGAGTAAATATCAATTGGCTCCAAGGCTCTTAGATGTTTGATTGACAGTGACCCATAAATTCGGACTTGAATGGAAAATCAGAAATTCATTTTAGACTGAAAATACTTTCTTCAAAGATGTACGGCGTGCCATTTTGTATTTTTGGAGTTGGTGGTAGACAGGTGTCAGTTAGGAACAATCATCTCGGTGATGTCCTAATTTCTTATCAAGTGCTATTGAGTCTCAGTATTAACTCCACGCTAATATGTTGTTGTTGTTTTTCATGTCTTTGGATGCCAGATATTCCACAGTGGTCACTCGTCAGCGAACTCTGGGTGTAGTTCTGTTGTGCTGGGTGGCCTCTGTTCTCTCCTCCTTTGCTCAGTTCATCGGCACAGATGTCCTCAACGCCAGCACGAGCAGTACAGACCCAGGCACAGTGGGTCTTGAGTTGGATGGTAACTGGACAACTTCTTCACCCCATCTTACCTCTTCCCCACCCCCTAAGTATGACGTCAAAGTCATTGGGAAGTACCTTCCATACGGAGGCTTCTTGTCAAAATTTTATGTGGAGGACATGAGCAACTTTACCTATGCTGAGATTCACAGCAGCCACTGGACACTCTGTGCTCCTGACACTATTCTCAGTCCCCAATTCTTGGTCTATGTTCACGGGATGACGGCATTTATCCTCCCCTTGCTTTGGCTCCTGGCCATTTACATTGACCTGCTATGCATGAAGCAGAGGAAGACTCCTTTTAGTCATGCAGATCCCCCAAAACATGACTCCTGCTTGGCCCGCTCTCTGGCCCTCTCCCTCTCCCTTTTAGTTCTGCTGTGCCTTCCACTCCACATTATCCACGCTCTCCTGCTTTTTACCCCGAGTACCTATGTTCCTGACTGGGTTCGTATATTTGCCTTGTTCCTCTTCCAGCTCTACAGTCTTGTGCCCCAGATCCTTTTCACTCCTCCTAAACACATGGGGGGAGAACAGGCATCATTCCCTCTAACTGTTACCAACCTTCCACCTGCAGTAGCCCAGTCCAGAGGGAAATCTGTACGTATGGCACTGTGTGAGGCGATGCAGGCAGCTCCATGGTCTTCAGCCAAACACTCCCTTAAAGCCAAAGTGTGCCCAGAGGTCTAAATTCTTGGAAGATCTGGGCTATTGTTCACAGCAGATAGAGCAACATTCCCTCCATGTTTCGTGTGCGTAAAAAATAGTTAGTATTGGAAACAAATGACCTGTGGACTGAAGAAATGTGGCATATTTCTGTTTGTTGCTGGCTTTTAAGCAATCTGCAACCTTGTACACACACATAATGCATAACTAGCAAATGATCAGGCCAGTTAATTATCAGGTCCCACACCAAATGTCAGTGAGAAAATTAAGTCTCTAGGTGATAACTACTATCCTGATCACAGATGTCTGTTTTCTTTGACTGCTCTTCCTATGGGTCTTATTCTAAGCCTGCTTTAAATCTCTACTAAGCCAACCACCAGTAATGTAGATATATGAGTGACAGCATTTAATTAAACCTTCAGTAGTGGTCTAGAGAGAAGGTGGGATTGTAAGGAAAACATAATTAACCTGGTTATGACACAATTTTCATGGCTGCTTTGATTAAACTTGTAAATACAATACGATTCTCTCTTGTAATAAAAAGGTCCTTATTCACACTAATTGGACTGTTCATCTTGAAGCATGTTAGTATTAAGAAATCAGTGATGGAGAAAACAGTGGCAATCCATCTCCCTCTGCATAGGACATATGTATGACAGTGAACATGCCATTTACATTAGGGTGACCAACTGTCCTCTTTTTTGCACTTGTTGACTTGTAAAAACCTATATGACATTTTTTTATTTCACCATTCATTATTGAAGTTCTTCTTGGCTGGGCCAAGTGTTCTCTTTTTTGGAAATCAAAATATGGTCACCCTAATTTACATTTCCCCCCTGTTTCTCATGATCATAGACCTGCTCTGTCTCTCCAGCTTTCTATAGATCTTGTGCCTATTTTTTATTCATTTTCTCACTTTTCAAATCCTTCAGCACTTTCAGTTTTATCTTAATGTATTCAGAAAATACACAGACTGGTATGCTTCATGTCATTGCAAAAAAAAAAAACCCTTTCCCTGGAACACATTATTGACAAAGAAATGTAGTAAAGTCTGGGGTAAAAAAATATCACTCAGTGAAAAATTAAATTTCTCCAGCTTCCCTGGCACAGGTGCATATTCAATTGTTTTGCCTGCTTGGAAGCTCCCTACTTCCTGATTATACGCAGCTTGGAAACTTCAGTAACCTGCGCTTCAAGCTACTCTGTCACCTCTTTGCCATGCTAGGGTCGCTGGTGAAACCAAAGAGAAAGGACTGATACAATCATGCATGTTGGCAGTAAAATAAAATTACTTTTTTTCCTTTTGAACTGAAGTCAAATATTAGCTGCAAATTGTAAAAATGAAATATGACTCTCACAAATGGGAAATTCTCTGATGTGAACCCGTTCCAGGGGATTAATTTGTGAAACCAACGTCAGAGAAAAGCTATATGAGTTATTCATACTTTTTCCTGTCATATTATTAGCCATATTTTGGTACATTCACTGCGTGCCATAAATAGAAGTGGATTAAGAACTGACGGCTTGTTACTTTCCACTTTTTCGATTTTTATGTTTTTCGATTTGATAATCACCCTCCACGATCACAGTGGTGGTCGTATTGCTTTCAGAAATACCATATGAATTGTGTTATAAGTATGTCCAGCCTAGTTTCCCAGAAAGCCTACCCAGCCAACAGTCAATGCTGTGAATTTCCGTGTGATTATGAGGACTCTATAGGGGAACACAAACACAACTGTGAACTAAAAAGTTTACTTTTTGTAGAGTTTTATTTTTTTTTCTCCCCTCTGTGAGGACGAGCAGAAATATCAGCATCAAACAACCAACAAAGACAACCAGACTGAGTGCTGTGTATCCCACAGGAAAACAAACAGATGAAACCTTTGTTTGAAGGACACACACTTCTGTTTTTAAGACATAAAAAAGGGGCAATATTCTCAGTTTTATTACTCATCGACCACAGTGAGTTTGATAGCAAGCGCTTCCAGTGGTACTGTTGCGTCATCATAAACTCAAGATATGTCTAGTTTCGACTGAATTGTTTGCTGGCCAGAGTGTCAACTCATGCTGGTAGCGCCTGGCAAGTCCATTACTTTGATTGCCGTTTGACAATCTGTCTTTATGACAGGCGACCAAGGAGCTTTGCCATCGATAGAAGAAAACACATCGATCTATCACCCTGCGACCTCCAGCAGCTTTCAAATCTAGCCCTGCACACAGATGGACATGTTGAGTGCTTCCCGACAGAATCGGGTATTGATTGCGTGGAAGTTAATGGCAGAGTCATATTTTTCTGCGTGCGTCTGAATCAACCCTCCTGTCACCTTTTCTTGCCTGCTATCTGCTCTCATGATTCATTAGCACTGCCACACAAGCATCTGTTTTGTTTATTCTGAAAGAGCTGCCAGTTTTAACCGGCTCCGCTGCCTTCATCTTTATCTTCCCACCTATAACGCCACTATTCCCCATTGATCTAATCATATGCTACATCTCCTGTTCTGTATTCACAGGATTTCAAAATCAGTACCAGCTAATTATGCAGTAAACACCCTTCGCCCCCAGCCTCCCCCAAAAAGAAAAAAAAAAAACAGTCTGATACCCGAGGTTATTTTTGGATTCTTTTTTTATTTTGTCGTGCTTTGTATCTTTCCCCTATAAAGAAATAGTTAGCTATATATCAACAATGACACATGGACGGTAAAATCAACAAGAGTGAAAGACAGGAGAAGAGACAACTAGGCACAGGAGACAAAGAGAGAGAAAGACTGGGAAAGAGAGGAAAGATAAGAGGAAAAGAGTGAAAAATGACAGCAATTTCTCTACAGTAGAACCAAAACAAACCATGGGAAGTGTACATTTCTTTAACATTTACAAGTATAATAATAACAACGGCAATAATAATAACAGTAACAACAATCATAATTGTTCAAATAATAATAATAATTAATAGAAAATCAATAAGACCTCTGGTTTCTCATAAAGACAAATGTTTTTTTTTTATTCTTTTCTTCATTTTCTTTAAAGATCACTGGACAGTAGTTTGTTCGGCTTTGCACCTCTATAGGCTAGTATTCTGTGTTAGTATAGTTGCTCATAATGCGTTTCAGTAGTAAACTGTTTTCTTATTTCTTAAAAGTTTAATTTAATTTATGTCGAAGTTCTTTTTTATACAAACAAGGAATTCAGAGATATGTATACTGTCAACGTGTTTTACTGTACGTATGAATGTGTGCATGTATCTGCATATGTGTTTGAGCATTCAGGGAAAAAAAGCCTTCTATTTTACTCTCTCGTTCAGTCCTTTCACTCTGATTCTTCTTGGCCCTCTTATTAAGAGTTTTAAACCTTTTTATCCTCTTAATGACATTCTAAAATAATTATACTTTTCTTTAATGCCTTAGCAAGTCATATTCCTTTCTTCTTTCTCAGGAACGCAGCCCAATACTAATCCTTTCATTATTAGGAGCCAACAAAGAAGAAGTGATAGAGGGAGAGACATACAGAGACAACGAGAGATATACGAGTAAGGGGAGAGGATTGTAACAGGTGAATGCAAAGCAAATTAAAAGAGGACCACATTTCCTCCACTGTCGCAGTGAGAGGGGAAAAATAACACTAAAAGATGCTTCTTTTTTTTTTCTTTTTACAAATTGGCAGGCCACCCAACAAGGATAGCAAAACAGGACAGTTAGTTTGTTCATAAAGTATGGATACTTCCTGGGACTCAGTTTAGTTTTGTTAGGGAATTATATATTAGCTAAGCTGTGTAGCCAAGATGGTTTGGCAATTAAAAAAAAAAAAAATCCATTTTCAAGCATCAAGCACTCAGAAGCTCCTGGTCAACTCTCTCTCTCTCCCCTTTGTCCTCTCTCCCTTCTCACACAGTGCTCCCACTGTCTCCGTCAGTTAAAAAATTGAGCTTTGTGAAATGGATTCTTCTATTCTCCAGGCGGGGAATTATAGCAGTCATCTGCCTCTAATTCCCTTTCCACTTTGGCGGCTGCACAGGCAGAGTGCCGGTTTTCTTTGTGCTCCCCGTTTCCCTCTCAATCAAAATAATTATGGCATCATTTCGCTTTTGTCTACATTCACCTAACTCTGTGGCCTCACCCTCTCTCCCTTTCTCACTCCCTATATTTTCCCCAGTTTCTCCAGCTTACAGTATATGGCACAGTCGTTAATGGCTGGTGGGTCTAGAGGCTCTCTTTTCTCAGTCTGTCTCCTAGTTTATGTCTGTTTACAGGATGTATATGGAGTGGACTGGAACAGGATGGATTGGCTGTGTGCGGTATCTGTATACAGTCGTTTTCAGAAGGCTGCCTCTTATGGCGCATTGTATTTTGTGTTTGTGTGTGTGTGTGGGTGTGTGTGTATACTGTATATAAGGTGGGACACAAGGACAGGAAGGGGGAAAGGGTATGAGGTCAGAAGAAAAGGGAATAGGGAAGGAGAAGGGCTACAGTAGGTACTCCTTCTTGCCCTGGCTGGCGTCGTTCCCATTGAGGAAGGCCTCTTGCACTTCACCATGTTCATCCAACCCACTGGCCTCATGGGTAAGATAGGAACCTGAGTGAACAGAAAGAGAGCAGGGGACAGAGAGAGAGAGGACAAGAGGGAGATTGTAGGGGGAAGGTTAGGCGGCAAAGCGTCATGATCATTGTAGTGCCATGCAGCAAAATCAAACCAGTCAGTGCTAATATTACTCCGTAGCATACCTTTGACTGATTAATTCATTAGTTAACTGATTGTTAGGTCAATACCAGGCAAGAATTGGCTCTCGTGTACGGTATGAGCCTACCAGCAGAAATCAGAGTTGGCGAATGGATGCGTGAATAGAAGAGTCACAAGGAGAGGAGGTAATAGAGGGAGGATAATAGAAGATAATAGAGAATAAAAGACAGGGAGGGAAGAGAGATTGGCAGAAAAGGGTGGAGGGAAAGTTAGGTGCAAGAGAACAATGGCACGTTTGCGTCACTCAGAAAACCCATTAAACTCATTTTACCACCCCTCAGGTCTGTATGATTAATGAATCTGTGTAGTACAACTTGTAGAGAGCAAGAACCACTCAAGTCATCTTCATGCTGGAGTGTCCCTTCACTCCACGGTTGACTGACATCCTTATTCGTTGCACCACAGAGGTTGACTGGCATGTTGACAGTCACAAGGGACCAAGACAAAGCCCTAATACCCTGTCTCAACACTGATTGGTTGTAATGGTCCTGTCTTCATGCTGATTGGCGGTCAAGCCATACTGACTGTTGACTGACGGTGTGTCTAGCCATAGGGTAAGTTACCCTGGTCGCAGCCTGCTGCACTATTCCTAGATCATTTCTTGGCAGCTTTAGTGCATAGTACGTGGCTGCCAACAAAGGGCACTTAAAAAGATAGGGAACGCGGCGACTCTGCTTTAATAGATGAGCCTTGATACACTAACATGTAGTCATAAAACACTGGGGACCACACCTACATTTCCCACCCAACCTTTTCTCTTCCAAGGTTGTTTATCACAGACAGTGCCTGGCTGGAGAGGAGCATCCTGTCCTGCATGCTTTCTGCTGACAATTTTACACAGAGTTTCACAGACTCTGAGTGTAACTAGAATCCAATAATATTTTCACAGCGCGTTAAGTCAGAAAGTTGAGAAATGAGAAAACATGCCTGTGGAAATTTGATAAAATACCCCGATTCCCAAAAATGTGAGGTATGCTTGTGAGAGTAACTTTTGTGTCACCTGATATGTGAATTTGAGTGTGTCTGTGGATTACCTTTCTGTCGGACAGAGCACCAGATGGTGACAATGAGGACACAGATGACAGTGAAAACCAGCAGCGCCAGAACACCACCTATCACTGCATAGGGTACTGCACTGTGAGTCTCCACCACTGCACCAGGATCTGAGGAAGAGCAAGAAAGACAAATAGTGTGTGTGGGTAGACTGCATAAAGGGAAATGTTGAGAAAAAGGAAAAGAAAAGTGCTGGCAAAGAAACTGAGGGAAAAAAAGAGAGAAATGGATCAAAAATGAAAGCAGGCGAGATAAAAGAGAAAGAAAGGCAGCACATTCCATCAGCTTGGAAGAGGGAGCAAGACACGAGAAAAGCGAAGTCGATATCTTCAGCCGAACTTGCATTATCACCTTTCATAACCCCCCCACTCACTCCACAGAATGCCAGACAGTCAAAATGAGTGAGAAAAGGGTGAAGAAATGAGGAGACTGAATAAAGGAATAAGTAGCCTATGTCAGCCACTGCAAAACCACTCCATTCAGGAACCTGTCAAGAGTACAATGCATTTTGAATGAGGGAAACTGTGTTTACACCTCAAGCAGTGCAGTCGTCAGAAATGAAACCAAACATTTCACCGCAAAATGAGTTAAGTGAGCTCAAAACCTGGAAAAAGACAAATTATGTGAAAATTTGCAGTATAAAGTTGCAGTTGTGGTAAGAAATAATGACGGCTAAAATGAGAAATGATGAAAGAAGTGCATGTTAGTATTGAAAAGATTTTTCATTTGATATCTGATCGGTCAATCAATCAAACAGTCAAATGACAGAAAATGAAAATAGAAGAATTTGTTAAGTCACTCACACTCTCTCTCTCTCCTCATACACACACACACACACACACACACACACACACACACACACAACACACACATACACACACACACGCACGATTAGTGCTCTGAGATGTCATGCTCCCCTTTAAGCAGTTTGTCAAAATTAAGATTACTCAAAAGTCAAAAGCTTTATTGTTAGTTGCACCTGTTGCAGATCATTTAGCTAAACCCAAAGGAAATGATTGTGTTTATGTGTGTCTTTATACAATTTCAGTAGTACATCCTGGCAAAACAACAACAAAAAAAGACACTCAGGTATTTACATGCACAGATGCAGAGATAGAGAGAATTAAGATAATTGGAATCAGCCTTGTTTCTCCTGAATTTACAGGACAGCTCTAATTATCCACCAGAGCTAACTTTAAATGTGTGCTTCTTGCAAGGATGTGAATTGTTCTTCACTGGATGGAGAAAAGGCCCCCTGACTCCCACATTGGCACAAAGAAACATTTTTTAGTTTTGAGCACTAATGAACCTATGTGCTGTTGCATTTTTACAGAACATAATAAAGCAAAATAAGCTAGGAGTGTGTTAGGTTTTGTATTGTTGATTGTCATTTATGCTTAGAAATATTTAACCATATATGCTTAGAGGTGTATAATCAATTGTGTAGTGATAGGATGTGTGATCTTTAGCAGGCTGCAAAGGCTTGGTGTGCATATGCACACCTACATCCTGGGAGCATGGGAAGAGGTCGTACCTTGTTTTATTGTTTTATGGTAGGATAAACGTGGCTATATCTGTTTTAGGCTAAGTGCCTTTTGTTTAGATGAACTGTTGGACTTCCAGACCAGCAGGTTTAGGGAAGTCATTTATGGGGTCACACTCTGACCCCACACCCCACACACACACAGGCAAGGTACTTTTTGTTTGTATGTAGACGTCATATTTTAATGAACCTATGCATATTCATGTCACCTCAATAAAGTGGAAAGTTAATAAGCACTTACTCTTTCATTTTTCCCTTTTTAGTACATACATTAATACACCCAACACTTTGTTAGGTACACCTTGCTAGTACTTGGTTGAATTGTTTTGCTTTAAGAACTGTCTTTAATTCTTATGGCATAGATTCAACTGGGTGCTAAAAACTTTCCATAGAGATTTTGGGTTATGATCTATTGGATTAAGATCCCGTGACTGGGCAGGCCGTTTGAGTACAGTGGACTTAGGGAGATGATTTGAGCTTTGTGACATGGTATGGTGTACTGCTGGATGCATCAGAAACATCAGAAGGTGGTGACACAGTGGTCATAAAGGGATGGAGTTGGTCAGCAACAATACTCAGATAGGCTTTGGTGTTTAAACATGTTCATTTGGTACTACTGGGCCCAAGTTGTTTTAAAGAAATATTCCACACTCCATTAAACCACTACACCAGGAGACTGAGCCACTGATACGAGACAGGTTGGATCCATGCTTACACCACATTCTGTCGCAGCAGAAATCGAGACTCATCAGACATGCCAAATTGTAGCTGGTAGGAATTACACCCAGTGGGAACCACTTCTTCTGCTTTAGCCCATCTGCTTCAAGGTTGTATGTGTTGTGCATTCAGAGACGCTCTTCTGCACACCTTCGTTGTAACAGGTAGTTATTTGGGTTACTATTGAGTTCCTGTCCTCTTGATGCAGTCTGGCCATTCTCCTTTGACCTCTGGCACCAATAAGGCATTTTCTCAGAAAGATATTTTCTCTTTTTTGGATGATTCTCTGTGAACCCTAGAGATGATTGTGTGTGAAAATCCCAGTCGGTGGTTTCTGAAATACTCAGACCAGCCTATTTGGCACCACCAACCATGATCAAAGTCACTCAAATCACCTTTCTTCTCCATTTTCATGCTCTCTTTCATTCAGCAGGTTGTCTAGATCATGTCTAGAATGCCTAAATTAATTGTGCTACTGCTGTGTGATTGTCTGATTAGATGCTAAAACAAGGAGTTGGACAGGTGTACCTAACAAAGTCACCAGTGAATGTATGGATTTATGTCTATGATGAATATCCTCTCATGGGTATACTCTATTTAGTGGTATAAGACTTTTTTAGTTCATAAATATGTACTTGTGTCATATTACCACAACATACCATTACACCATCCACTGGACTCCAAATGCAACTTCTTTTAATCCTGCTGATGCTTTTAGTGGCATATTGCAAATGAATCACAGAAATAGTTTTTGTCTGCTCTTTGACATGGTATTACTAGCATGTATAAAATATAACTCATAAGTGTTGCAGATGAAGCCCATGCATCTCTGTCTTGCTTTGTCTGTGTTGTCTCGTTCTTTGTTGTTGTGAAAAAATTAATAAAACATATGTCTTTGAGTCTGGACTTGTGTCTGAGTTGCGGGCGATAACAAAAGCCTTTTGATGGGCTGAGTCAGTGTAAGAGCTGGTAAAGCCAATAGAATGCAAGGACACAGAGTTATTGATGCAGCTCTTGAACCTTGATAGAGCGGAATTAAAACATGAATCATTAATACAGTGCTAACAGATAGATATCAGCAGAAGAAGAGAGACTTGTGGGAGAGGTGAAAGAAAAGAAGAGAAAGGAGAAAACTGAGGATCAATGACTTAAAAAAAAGCTTTCTCTACATGCATCTCTTGGACAAATGTCTTACTGAGCAACTTGCATCACTTTTCTGGTTTTGTGGATGACAAAGGACTTGCATCTATATTTATTACTTAAATGAATATTAGTTATTTGAGGACACACAGTGAGAATAAGGAATATTTCTTAGGAGCCAAAAAAAAAAGCAAAACAAAAGAAAAAACAGGTATACTCAAGAGATCTGTCTTTATCTCCAAAAATATGTTGTTAATCCTCAGTGGCCCAAAGCACCACAGGAAATGACTGACTAAAAAAATAGTTGTTTCCCTAAGGAGTCCTTATGATACACCACATTGAATAAACATCCACAAAACTGTCCAAATAGAAACTTTCTTAAGACCCTTTATGACATCTCCACACATGCCCAGCAGGTGAACAACCTCTACCTGTCACGGATAGTGACAGAGGCAACAGCAGAACAAGAAGAATGCTGCTGTTCTCTTTGCTTCATCTTTCCTTTTAAAAAAACAGAGAGCAGACAGAGAGGAGCTGAAGGTGTGGAAAGCAGGACGAAAACAGTGAGCATGTGCTTTTGTGAGTGAATGAGATAATTAGATTCTGTAGACGAAAAAAGATACGGCGTACTGAATGAGAGTGTGCAGTTATAAATATGCACACAGCAACCATGCTTATAGCTGCAGCGTAACACTCATCTGAGCAAATATGATTACAAACACCTGGATCCCTGATCTTTTCTACTTTCATGCTCTCCTTCTCTCTTTTGATGTACATTTGTGAGTCTGTGTGTGTATAAGCAGATAAAGGTTTGTGTAGCACCTTCTGATCCTGCCATAGGCTAACATTAGTCAGCTTAAAACTAGGTGTGTTGCTAACTGTGTAATGCAGATATCATTACGGTTAAAGAAACGAATCCAACAACAACTCAGCCACACACACACACACACACACACACACAACACAACCACACACCACACACACACACACACAACACACAACAACACACACACACACACACACACGTGTAAAAATGCTGACTGGGCAATGAGCGCGTGTCGGGGGGGGAACATCAAAGAGCTAGTGATGAGAGAAGAGAGAATAGATGGTTGCGCATGGTGCATACCCAAGCGTCTGCAGGCGGGTCGCTCATGTGGATGCAGGGCAAAGGAAGGTTGCAGCAGTAAAGTGTGTGCGACTGCATGTGTGAGTGGAGGGAGGTGGAGTATAGGTAGGGCGGTGGAGGACACCATTGGAGAGAAGGAAATGACAGGGCGAGAGATGCAGCGACTATGACCTGCAAGAGCTGGGTCACAAGAACAACTAGGGAGAAACCCAAGAGAGATTAAGCACTCTGTCTTCTATCTACATTTGTGAATGCATTTTATATATATTTATAATGTGCGTGTGTTGTGTGTGTGTGTGTTGTGTGTGTGTGTGTGTGTGTGGTGGTGTTGTGTATGTGTATTGTAATGTATATATATATATATATATATATATATATATATATATATATATATATATATATAGAGGGAGAAAAGGGTTTGATTTATTTATTTATTATTTATTTTGCAGTTTAGCTTAAATTATGGGACAAAAAGAATGGTAACCCGTAACTGTGAAAAGTCTTCAGTGTAATCCATGTAGCACTGCATCACAGTGCTATGGGAAATGTGGAGGGACAATGAATAAGGCTGAAATCCTGCAATTAAATGACAATCCACTTGAACACCTTAGTAATGGCCACAATGAAAGAGATAGAATGTATAGAAAGCATGAGGCTTTCAGTGGCAACAACAAGTACTGTTACTTTGATGTGGACAACTGCTCAAAGGGATTATAGTCTACTAATTATACTGTTCTTTGGCTCCATGTTTAAAAATACAAAATATTTTCTGTAGTAAATCCATAATACGTAAATTTTAAAAGGTAAGCTAGAAAAAAACCCCCTAAACTTAAGTATAGTCATTTTGGAGAAAAGAATTAGGCTAACCCAGATGTGATCTCTTCCTTGCAGGTCATAGTTATCTGTTTTCCCATTGGGGTGCAGCAAAGCCAGAAAAGAAAGATATGCATGTGTGTTACCTTCTGGATCCAGGGCCAAGGTGGGTGGTAGGAGGGTTGGGGTGGTAGAATGGGAGGTGATTGGTGGGGTGGTAGGAGTAGGAGTGGAAGGGACCATGGTAGTGACAGACACATTATCTACAGGCAGACAGGGAATGGGATAAACACAGACATACAAATACAACACAGAGGGACATTTTAAAAGGTGTTTTGTAGTAAAGTTAGTACTGGATGTAAAACATGACACATGCTTCTTTCGTTTCTGTGGCTGCAGTTGTTTCAAACACTAAAATATCAACATTAGTAATCATTTTCCCCCAAAATGTATGCAGATTTCAAAAAGAAATATATTCTGACCCATGAAAAGTGATAAACAAACACATTACCAATGTTCTTTGGCAGGTTATATACCAGCTAAGGAGGTTAAAGATGCTCACGATGTGAAAAACATGCTTTAAAGTGGCAGCTGATGAGAATTACACCTGGCAGACTGGCATTCATCTGTGAAGCAATTGGAATATATAGGAACACATTCTCTATCACTGACACATTTTCTATGGTACAATGGCAGGAGAGACAGAGACATTGTCTGTGACAGATGCATTCCCAATGGAACAGTGCCATGCAGGGACTGTCTCATTCAATGCTGAACAATAGCTTGGATCTTGACACATTCTCCAAATCAATGGCTAAGACACAATGGTAGGTAGAGAGGTAGAAAAAGACAAGTTCAGCTGTTAAAGATAAAAATAATGGCTGACAAGAACTAAAAGGGAGATGGTGGCGTGAGTGTGTGTGCATCAGCACTTTCAGAATGAATAATACGCCACTTCATCAGACAATTTATATAAAACTGCAACATGCAAGGAAGTCTATGTGCTCAGTGTAGGGCGCACACACACACACACACACACACACACACACACACACACACACACACACACACACACACACACACACACACACTGAAGTTATTTTGTAATAGAGGAAAATGCACTTGTGCATGAAAACACGCATACTCAGTGTACATGTCCTTATACACAAATGCCTAATTGCACAGACACATGCACACACGCTGCCCTTTCTGTTCAGGAGTAATTTATTGGTAAGTATTCCTCTGTCTCTTCTCTCTTTCTCCCACCGGCCCTGAGATCATCAATCTCTTTTTGCACTCCTCTTATGTCAGCACAATACCTCCCCCACTACTGCCTTTTTTCCCTTTCTTCAAGACTAGCCTTGGTGTTCTCTTGTGTTCGTGACTTACATGATGCATAATGTATTTTGTGCAAAAGATGAAGAGTTATCTGCGGGAAAAATAAAGTAAAATGGAGAGTGGAACAAATCGAATTTGATAGAAAATAGAATTTACTTAAATCTCTCTTTAGTGTATGAGTTGCTGTATGTTATATGCTTTTGTATGTGTGTGTGTGGATGCATGTAGATTTCATTTGAGCCTAAGAGCGGAAGATTAATTGCTGAGGTCACTGCACCAATTAACTGGTTGCTGATTAATTTCTTTTGACTATCATGAAAAAAATAAATGTTCCCCGCTCACTATTTTAAACTTTTTTCTTATTTTTTTCAGTCTCACTCATCTTTTCTTCTTTCTTTATCAACAAAACTCTTTTTTTCCCTCACCCTCGCTCCCCAACCCATTTTGTCCACTTCTCCACTTCCCTTCATTTGGCTGCCTCAGCTGGCTCTCTGGTTTCATTCCTCTGTGACTGCGTTCCCTCACTGCCTCTCTTCAACTTAATTAAGGAGAATGCCATACAGCTGTCGTTCTCTTGGCCGATAGCGTCCTTTTTCCCCACATCATATTGTTATTCATTAACACTATACGCCTGCCAATCAGGCACACAGCCCATGTTATTTCGAGGGATGGATGAGGCGGCACTTGCGATAATGACGTTTCTCCTCGTATCTCATTCTCACAGTAGTGCGCCTGAGGATACGGTACCACCATTTTGGATGAGCCCTGTTATTCTTTCATGTTCAGTGTTCTTTATTTTAAGGGCTTAGCCCAAAGCACTGCTTGTCTAGCCAGTTATCTTTTAGCGCACTGAGTGCTTAGACATTGGTCGAAGGTCCACTACTGTGACCATAAAGGTCGACACTGATTACCTGAAAACTCATAGAAAATTTACTCGGATGTCAGGTGCATTGTCACAAGTGAAAGAAAATAGCACTGAAGCTTTTCTTTTTTAAAACTAAAACGACTCGGCTTTATCTCAGTCTAGCTTCTTCGGCCCCCTGCCTCTAACCTTTTTACACTTTCCTTCTCATTCTATTTTTTTTGAAAGTCTCTCTTCATTAAGTGGAGGTCTGTTTTTTTTTTTTTCATTCCAATTACCCTGACGGCTCATTACAACAGTCGAGGAGACAGACTAATCCCTGGTCACCTAATATCCTTCTCTATCTCACCGTGTACCCACCCTTTCATCTTTTTGTCCCTTGCTTTTGCTTTCCATGCAACTTTCTGTAAATCAGTTTCCAGTTTGCATTCTTCCCACTGTTCGCTTCTTTCTGTATTTCACAGAAACGAGCACCCTCACATGCATACACGTGCATGCACATGTGTTAAGTATATGAAAACTATAATACTTATTTCCCCATCTCCATCTCTCTCTTTCTTTCTTTCTCTCTCTCTCCATCTTGCACACTCTCTCATGCAATTCAATTCTAATAGGTTTTATTGGCTTGGCGATTCATCTGAGTGCAGCAACTAAGTTCAATTACATAAGGAAGCCCTTTGGGCTTTCACCAGACAATCAACAACATTCTCCTCCCCGTCACAGGCACTCGCATGCTCATGCATCTTTGCGCATACACATAAAAAAAAAAATAAAATCCAATTTCTACTTAACAATGGTGGCACAGAGATGAAACACCCAACAGAGGCCACATCCTTTTAGGATTTTACAGATACTCGCTCCGAGACTGTGTGTTTGTGTGCGTGTGCCTTTGCTTTCTCATTCTTTCGAAATTTCTCACATTTACATCAATAGTGGCCTCCTGAATGCTGCAGAAAGTTAATTTCATTGTTTTAATTTGTTCACACACCTACATGCACAGCAACAGGAAATATCTCACTCTCTCTAAATCAAGGCTTCTTAAAGTGTGTCAATTAAGGAAATCAGCATGAATTAAGAGCCATAACAGAAAAATGCAGACATCACACACGGGTAGTTAGCGTTTTAATGTGTCTGTTTAGAGGATAGTGGTTTATGTTGGTGATTAATTTCTTCATTTAATTTCAGTAAATCGTTTTTGTGCTGGTTTCTAGCTTTCAAACCAGCACCCTCTGTCCTATTAGGAAGACAGAAACGTGTTTGTGTGTTATGAACACTAGAATAAAAGAGTTAAAAGCACCCACAAGCAACATTAGCTCTAATACTTGAAATACTCAGTTTGTCTTGGGTAAGGTGCTTCCTTGATCACTGTGGACTCACATGAACTGTGATTTAGTACATCTGTGCTCACACCTATTTTGGGTAATATCTATATAAGGTCAGAGATGAAGACCATGTGTGAAAATAGCCATAAACTGTGGAGGAATGAATGTGCAGCCCATACCTAGCCCTCTGATTGGTCCCCGGGCACTCTGAGAAACCTCGCTCTTAAATCATAAACATGCATGTATACAGGAATAAAAATTCAATAACACACACAGAGTAATATGCGGTAGGAATGTGTGACTCGTCCAATAAAGCTCAGCTTCAATGCATCATGTCTTTGCACAACCAAGGCCCTTGGAGAGTTTCCCACCTCTCACTCACGATTCTCCTTGGCTAGCATTAAACCTGCCTCTCTTTGTAAAGTGACAGCACTTAAAGCACCAGCGACAAATCTGAAGCCCCTTTTGCCTGAGTTTGAGCTCAGGCTGCAGACCCTGATGGCAGGTAATTCTCGCAGAGGGACGGTTGACACAAAATGAGACATAGAGATGAACAAGTTTCTTTGCACCTGTAACAGAATGGTTTCATTTCTGCTGACTCATACCTTATAACACACATCTTCCATCATCCCCTCTTTGCCTGCACTTCCTCCTCCAGTGCACCCAGGGATTCCCTGTGGGAAGGCTGGGAGCCAGCTAAACTGACATTTCGTGTATTTGACAAGCCGTGGTACTGAATGTTAACCTGCATTCAACCTCCATCGTCCTTCATCTCCCCCTATTCATTTCTCCATCACACACCCCCTACCCCCGTTCCCCCAATCCAACTTCTCACTACTTTACACCCAGTGTGCTCCGTGTCGCCTTCTCAGAGAGCAAGGCCTTCTTCGGTAAAGAGACTGAACTGCAGCTGAACCTAGAATAAGGGGCAGACCGGTGGCCAAGTGAGAAATAGTGATGGTGTTTGAAGAGCAGGGACAGGAAAAGGAAGTGGACAGGAGGTGCTAAAAAGGTGAGAACAGTTGAAAGCACAAGGAAAAAATGACATTGAGGAACAGAATACAGCAAGGTATAATGGGAAAAGGTGAATAACAAGAGTGTTTCAAACAGAAAAAAGAAAATAACCTCAGAGAGATTGAAAAGGTAAAGCATGCGACTACATCAATACACCAGTAAAACTGCATTTCTTTTGATCTGCATAATGCTTTGGGAAGAAGTGAAGATCCTCGCTACAAAATAAGTTAATCATTATTTGAATGAAAGAAACAGATGATGACACCTACTTAAACAATGTGGGTGCTGGAATGAAAGAAAGCACATGCTGCGTAAAATGTTGGAGTTATGATTCATCTTGTGTTTTATAGCATTAAATCCCATCATTTTTATTATTGATTGGCGACTTTCATTTAGTTTTCAGAAGCTAGCATGCCACCAGCACTATGTTAAATCATCCTTGGTGGTTTATTTACATCAATACAAATGTATAGTAAAGCGTGCATTTAAGCTCTGCGGCATTTACAAAGACACACATATTACCGAAAACAGAGCTTGAATTCAATGGATACGTTTGACATTTCTCAAGAAATAATTTTCACCATATTAGCTGGATTATTAGTTGTGACATTCAGGAAAATCAAGTGCGACTTTCAGTTGCCTACAGATTAATATGATGGTTGCATCAACAACTCTGAGCTCTTTGAGATAAGGTTTAAAACAATCTGCCCAGTGGGTGACTACATTT